TTGTTGTTTGGCGGGCCCGGGCTGGGGATTCGAACCCGCCACCTTGGGTGTATGTGGCTGGCGCCTTAGCCGCTTGAACCACAGGCGCCGAGCCAGCAACTCAGTTTTTAAAAAAGAAAAAAAAATTTAGACAAACACTTCACTAAAATCATATGCATGGCAAATAAGCACATGAAAAGATGCTCAAGATCATTCATTACTAGAGAAATGTAAATTAAAAGCACTATGTGATATCAGTACACACCCATTAGAATGGCTAAAATTTTGTAGCCATTGGCCATTTGATTGACCATACCAAGCATCGTCAAGGAACTGCAACTCTTCTACATTGCTGGTGGGAATGTAAAATGTTACAATCATTTTTGAAAATAATTTTATATTATGGAGTAAAGTTGAAGCTGTGAAGCTTTTCCATTTCTGGTTTTATTCCCCTGGGACAGACTTGCACATGCACACTAAACTTTATGTATTTAATATAAGAATATTCACGGCAGCATTGCTTCATAATAGGAAAAATCTGGATGCAGGGCAACATTTGACAGGAGAATGGATAAATGAAATATAACAATGAAAATAAATAACCCCCATTTACACAGCTCCACATGAATAATTTTTACCAACACAATATTGAAAAAATAAAGCAAGTTTCAGAAAAAATACACACCTCATCCTTCAAAATGAGCACTTGCCATGTGCCTGCCATTCTTTTCGGCACTGAGGAAATATCAGTAAATAAGCCAGGCAAAAATCCCAGTCTTCCTGCCTTATAGTATGAAGGCTAAAATAAATAAGAAAAGTAAGAAAGGTAAAATTAGCTCAGAGTATAAAAACCTGCTATTCATCAACCCAGATAAAGCCAGCTTTAACAACAAACAACATTTCTCTCAAGGAGATGTTCCAGCTGTGGTCTCATAACAATCCCTTTCTTTGCCTGACTACTGCTTTCTTTTTTTTTATTTTTTTATTTTCTTGGAGACAGAGCCTCAAGCTGTCACCCTGGGTAGAGTTCCGTGGCATCACAGCTCATAGCAACTTCCAACTCCTGGGCTCAAGTGAGTCTCCTGCCTCCACCTCCCAAGTAGCTGGGACCACAGGTGCCTGCCACAACACCTGGCTATTTTATTTATTTATTTATTTATTTTTTTGTTGCAGCCATGATTGCTGTTTGGCAGGCCCGGGCTGGATTCAAACTTGCCACCTTAGGTGTATGTGGCTGGCGCCTTAGCCACTTGAGCCACAGGCGCCGAGCCGACAACTGCTTTCTTACTAAAAACTTCTGTTCTCTAAGAACAGGATTTTGCTCTTCAAAATCATATGTCAATTACTTCCAGGCAACAATCACTAGGAACATATCTGTTGTTGAAAATTTTGAATTTCTTACTCATGACTGTGAGGGAGAATTCACACCATACAGAATCATGGGGTGACTTATTAAGAATGTTTTGGGGGGTGGTGCCTGTGGCTCAAAGGAGTAGGGCGCTGGCCCCATATGCCGGAGGTGGCAGGTTCATAACCCACCCCTGGCCAAACAAAACAAAACAAAACAATGTGTTGGGGGAAAAAAAGAGTGTGTTAGGAAGTAATTATAGGATTTGGGCTAGTGAGGTGATTCCCAGGAGGATTTAAGGAATCAGTTTTGCTTGGGAATGGATACTGTCAGGAAGTGGGGTTAATTCTATGACTGGGCAATTTAATAAATCTTTTTTTAAATTGTTTTTTATTAAATCATAACTTTGTACATTGACGCATTTATAGGGTTCCAGGTAAAATCTTTTCTTTTTTTGAGACAGAGTCATACTCTGTCACCCTGGGTAGAATGCCATGGTGTCATAGCTCACAGCAACCTCAAACTGTTAGGCACAAGTGATCCTCTTGCTTCAGCCTCCCAAGTAGTTCGGACTATAGGTACCTCCACAACGCCGGGCTAGTTTTTCTACTTTTAGTAGAGAAGGGGTCTCACTCTTGGCTCAGGCTGGTCTTGAACTCCTGAGCTCAAGCAATCCGCTTGCCTTAGCCTCCTAGAGTACTAGGATTACAGGCAGAAACCACTGCACCCGGACTTTTTTTTTTCTTTAAATTTTGAGACAGACTCTTATTATGTCGCCCTCAGCAGAGTGCTGTGACTTCACAGCTCACAGAAACCTCCAACTCTTGGGTTTAAGCAATTCTCTTGTCTCAGTCTCCCAAGTAGCTGGGACTACAGGCGCCCACCATAACGCCCGGCTATTACTATTATTATATATTTTTTTGAGACAGAGCCTCAAGCTGTCACCCTGGGTAGAATGCTGTGGCATCACAGCTTACAGCAACCTCCCACTTCTGGGCTCAAATTATTCTCTGCCTCCGCCTCCCAAGTAGCTGGGACTATAGGCGCCCACCATAATGCCCGGCTATTACTATTTTTTTTTTTTTTTGAGACAGAGCCTCAAGCTGTCACCCTGGGTAGAATGCTGTGGCATCACAGCTCACAGCAACCTCCCACTTCTGGGCTCAAACGATTCTCTGCCTCCGCCTCCCAAGTAGCTGGGACCACAGGTGCCCACCACAACGCCCGGCTATTTTTTGGTTGCAGCCCTCATTGTTGTTTGGCAGGCCGGGCTGGATTTGAACCCACCACCTTAGGTGTATGTGGCTGGCACCTTAGCTGCTTGAGCCATAGGCGCCGATCCTGCACCCGGCTTCTAATAAATCTTACCTATTGGTAGATATGTTTGTAAAGTCTGTATGTGATAAAGTATCAGGCTAAATCTATGATTGGTAAGGAAGCAGTTCTTTTAATACCTAGGAAATGAGATGTTTGGTAGTTTGGGGCTTGGGCAACATTCATGTTTTATGTTTAACAAGATTATGGAGTGGTCTAATTTTGTTTTGATCCATCACAATGAGTCTGTTGAGGTTTTGTGAACTTGTTTATGCTCAAGAGGAGAATACCAAGACCTCACTTTGTCTGCCAGGACAGCTTTTGGATGTCAGTGGCTGTTTTTCTCTTTCTCACATATCAGTAAGCATAAAACATCCCATTCTAGTGTGCAGGATCAAAGTCACTTTGGCACATAGAAGCAGCCTCAATTTCCATCGTAGGTGCAAAGCTTCAGATAAATGACTACATTCCTTATCTATTTTAACCTTGTCGTTTCCACAGAAATAGGACCCTGGGTCCACTTTGCAGTCCAGGCCAGATTATGACCCCTTTACACACAGGTGTGCTTTGCTTTGTGTCTATCAAAACACCAATTCATTTAAATTGAGTTCCGGGAACATTTCGAGCTCCGGGAACCAGTGCTCTGGATGAGAAACTGAGGTGCCACAGAGACAACAGAGCCTGCAAAGTCCATACACTCACACCGGTCTCTTGTTTATGCTCCAGAGGTCTCATAACAAACTCTTTTCATTTAGTGATAGGCTCCAGGACTCCACTGGTGTCTTATCTCCTTCATTGCAATGAGTCAATAAACTTGACTTTGGTGGAATTACATGTTTGTCCTTAGTAACAGGAGGCTGACTGAGCTAGAACAAAACTATACACAGTACAGATGTTATGTAAAAAATAAAAGCAAGGAAAAAGAAGTGTTTGGGACGGTTTGCGATTTAAATGGGGTATTCAGGGAAGGCCTCATAGATAAATTGACACCTAAGCAAAGACCTAAGTAAAATGGTGGAATGTTTTCTTTTTGAAACAGTCTATGTCGCCGTAAGTAGAGTGCCATGCTGTCACAGCTCACAGCAACCTCCAACTCTTGGGCCTAAGCGATTCTCTTGCCTCAGCCTCCCAAGTAGATGGGACTATAGGTGCCCACCACAACGCCTAGCTATTTTTTGGTTGCAGCCGTCATTGTTGTTTAGCTGGCCCGGTCTGGTTCCAACCTGGTAGCCTCAGTGTATGTGGCCGGCGCTGTAGCCACTGTGCTGTGGGCACCGAGCCAAGTGGTGGAATTTTTAATTTGCTGAATATCCAGGAAAAGAATCATGCAAGGAAGGAAAAAGCACAAAGGCCCCAAGGAGGAGCATACACGGCATGTTTCAATCACACTTGCTCGAAAGGCCTGATAGCCTCTTTAATTCTGAAACCTTTCTCTATCCCCATTTACTCCTTCCTGCCTTTGCTTTTCTCTATAGAACTTTTCAAGATACAGTCTGGGTCTATTATGCTTGTTTTCTGCTTCTGGGAGGGCGGGCATCTTTGCCTGTGTCCTTCACCGACGAGCCTAAGCTCCTAGCACTGCGGGACACACACAAGGCGTTCGACCGAACTTTGTGGAGGGATGGGGGCCTAAGACTGATTAGAGATCAAGGTTAAGGGAAGAAGACCCCGTCACGTGGGCCATTGAGAGCCACTAGAAGGGCCCAGAAGCCACGCGCACCCGCAAGGAACTAGACTGACTCTGGACCGCGGTGACGTAAACGCTCCCGTCAACCTGGTCGTGATAAGCATCGAAGCGCATGCGCTGGCAGCAGCAGCATCGAGGCGCCTGATTGGCCACCGCAAGCTCCCAGAGTGGCATTGCGCATGCGCACCCCTTCGCGCGAGCCTGGTATGAGTGTATGGACTCTGCAGGCTCCGTTGTCTCTGTGGCACCTCAGCTTCTCATCCAGAGCGCTGGTTCCCGGAGCTCGGAATGTTCCCGGAACTCAATAACCTTCTCAACATCTCCCCTGACAGGGCGGAGCAGGCAAGATGTCGCGTGGTCCAGAAGGGGGCAGTCCAGGGAGCGTAGCTGCAGACTGCATCCGGGACGCCGCGCACATGACCCGGTTGGAAAAGCGCGACGACCTCGGGCAGTGGGCGCCTGGGAGTTGTGGTTCGGAGGGGGCTGACCTCGGGCTGGGGCTGGAGACGGAGACTTAGGCCTGCTGAAGGCGGGCTTCTGGACGGAACTTTTCGTATGTTCTCAGAAGCCGTGCGTGTTCTTAAAAGTTCCTAGGAAGCATGTCCTACAATTTAGTTGGGTTGCATTCACAGTCGCGTATTGGGGAACCTTGTGCTTGTTCACTGGTATAGGGGGTATGGGTTTTAGGAACTCAGAAGTGGTTAGGGAAGTGACCCTGAAGAAAAGTTTGGTTCTCCGCGGTTCTAGTGCGAACAGCTTCTTAACCACCTCCGAGCCCTGGGCATGTCTTCTTGAATGCGTGCTCTTACACTTCTTCCTTGAGGTCTCTAATTGAGTTGTTGGAAGCTGTAAGCAACCTACATTGGATTGCATCAGGTCCGCCTTCACCACAGCCCAGCCACTGTTTTCTTCACTCCTTCTCATACTCTGGGACACCTCGAAATCTTTCGCATTTTAACGCAGGGGTCACCTCTTTTAGGAGCATATCTTGTTTTATATCATAACTTTTGTCTGCCTAATGAAATGATGGGTTTCTTCAGGCAGCCAGTATACATGTGTGTAAAGCCTTTTTATGACTTTGTAGTACCAGGCAAATTTCAGCAGATCTTTGTGGATTTTATAGTAGTTGCCCAGTAATCTGTCCAAGCCTCCAATTACTACTGGCACTTTCAAAGATCTCAGCGTGAGGGAATGGAGGATTCAAGCGGGCACTAGGGAATGACAACCCTTGTAGTAAACTCTCAAGATCGGATAGTGTGATCTTTCATATCCTATACGTGAAAAAGAAAACTAAAGCCCAGTACTTGCCTAAGATCACATGGCAAGGAGGTGGCATGTATGGTACCTCTTGTTCTTGACCTTCCCTGTCACTGACAGAAGTTGCCCTGGAGCAGGGCAACCAGGCACTGCAGAGACCACCTTTAAAGGTCTTTCCAGGGCTCTTCTTCTTCTTTTTTTTTTTTTTTTTTTGCAGTTTTGGCCGGGGCCAGGCTTGAACCCACCACCCCTGGTATATGGGGCTGGTGCCCTACTCCTTGAGCCACAGGTGCCACCCCAGGGCTCTTGATCACAGCTCTGCCGTACGCAGGGGCATGGGGAAAACTTTACTATTGGAAGTCTCCATCATCAACTACTTCCTCCCCTCTCACCTACCCTACAGAACACAGAATTGGCATCAGAATTAGAAACAGGAAGTTAGATCAGAAGACCTTTTTGAAGGTCCTTTCCAATCCTGGCAGCCTAATTTTATTGTTGTCTGATGGTAAAAGCGGCCTTCATTCAGGCTTTATTCTCCCTAAGGTAAGATTATGAGGGTGAGGAAGAGAAGGAATTTTATTCTGTTTTGTCTTGAGAAAGTGAAGGCTGAAGTATGCTTACCTAACATGAGTAACTTAGTCCTTATTACTTTAGTAATTAATTTTGCCATAATTTTGATTTATTTTCTTCTTTTTTAGGTAAACATAGCATATTTATCATTAAATATTATACTCTATAGTTGCAGAAATTTGGGGTGTACAGATTGGTTAGATTTCTACACCAAGTTGATCTTTCCCCAAGGAATCTAATTCATCTTTTTGTGTTCCTTGTCACTTATAGGGGAAACTGACTCTACTCTGTGATGCAAAGACAGATGGCAGTTTCCTTGTGCACCACTTTCTCTCCTTCTACCTTAGAGGTATGGGACTCATTGATGCAGTAGAAAAGAAACCAAGGCAAAAAATAAACAAAAAAATACCAACAAAAATCATACTGTTTTAGGAAGCAATGAGAAGTATTTACTAGCCAAGGCTTTGTGTTTGGGTAATCAGGGAGCTATTTTATTAGGTAAAAGATTACTGGACCATCTTGTACCCTCCTTACCCCTGCCAAGAGTGGCGTGTGCTCACTGTTTCCATGTTCTACCTTCCCCTTCCCCACCCACTGTACAGCCATTGCCTCACTGTGGCCTCCTCATTTAGTTGCTCCTTAGTCCTATGTATCTTGAGATCTTTGGGCACTTGATCCTATTGACACCTGGCTGTGTTAATAGATGTTTTCTAAAGAACATGATTGGCCAGGCATGGTGGCTCATACCTATAATCCTAGCACCCTTGGAGGCCACAGTGTGAGGATTGCTTGAAATCAGGTGTTTTTTTTTTTTAACCTGGGTAGAGTGCCCTGGTGTCATATCTCACAGCAACCTCAAACTCTTGGGCTGAAGCAATTCTCTTGCCTCAGCCTCCCAAGTGCTGGGACTATAGGCACCCACCATAATGCCCAGAGGGATTACAGGGTCTTGTTCCTGCTTAGGTTGGTCTTGAACCCATGAGTTCAGGCAATCCACCCGCCTTGGCCTTCTGGAGTGCTAGGATTATAGGAGTGAGCCACTGTGCCTGGCCCTGAAATCAGGAATTTAAGACCAGCCTGAGCAAGAGGGAGATCCCATTTCTACTAAAAATAGAAAAATTAGGCTTGGTGCCTGTGGCTCGAATGGCTAAGGCACCAGCCACATACACCTGAGCTAGCAGGTTCGAATCCAGCCCAGGCCCACCAAACAACAATGATGGTAGCACACAAAAAATAGCTGGGCATTGTGGCAGTTGCCTGTAATCCCAGCTACTAGGGAGGTGGAGGCAGAGAATTGAGAATTGCTTGAGCCCTGGAGTTCAAGGTTGCTGTGAGCTGTGATGCCATGGCACTCTATGCAGGGTGACAGTTTGAGGCTCTGTCTTTGTAGTCCCAGCTATTTGGGAGACTGAGACAGGAGGATTGCTTGAACCCAGGAGTTGGAGTTTTCTGTGAGCTAGCCTGAGTGAGGCTTTGGCACTCTAGCCCAGGCAGCAGAATGAGACTCTGTCTCTAAGAAAAGAAAAAAAGAACATGGTCACTGCAGTTTACATATGGAAACAGATAAGAAAAATAATAGCCAAAAAGACTGATTTATCAGGCTCGGCACCTGTGGCTCAAGCGGCTAAGGCGCCAGCCACATACACCTAAGGTGGCGGGTTCGAATCCCCAGCCCGGGCCCGCCAAACAAC